CTCTTTAAAAAATAAAAATAAATGCAGTCGATTGGTAAATGGAGACGATTCCAAGCAGAAAGGATTTGAGGCTGATGTCAGACTCCAAATGAATCCTTTGCTGGCGAGTAACATAAGAGTAACGTCAGGCGAGGGTCTTGTTGGGGGAGGCAGCCGGATGTCACTGGAAGAAGGTCTTTCCAATGGGCCTGGAAAGGAAAAGAAACAAAAGGAGGAAGAAGAGGATATATGTGGCTCTGGGTGGGACTGTGGAGTTAGGGTGAGGGTGAGGGTCCCTGGAGCAAACCCCACCCTCCCTCGCACGGACGATGCTGCCTAGCTGGCAAACAAGCAAGCTCAGAGAGCACCAAGGACTCCACAAAAGGAGGAAGAGATTGAAAACAGCACGAAGGTGTCTGATTTGATGGACATCTCTACACTACAGAGGGAGGAGTTTCACAGCCCCAGGATGGGTTGAGGCAAAATGCTTTATTTGCTTACAGAAGTGCAAACACATTCTGGGGTTGCCCAGCACTCCATTTTAATCCAATAGGTTGGATTGGCCCTAAAGAAGGCACCCCCCCCAATAATCAAGTTTCACGTTGGTACAGGTAGTACTCGACTTACGGCCATTTGTTTAATGACCATTTGAAATTACAACAGTGCTGAAAAAAGTAACTTATGACCGGTCCTCACACTTACAACCATCGCAGAGTCCCCACAGTCATGGGATCAAAATTTGGGCGCTTTGCAACTGGCATGTGTTTACGATGGATGCAGCATCCTTGGGTCATGTGATCACCATTTGTGACCTTTCCAAGGGGCTTCTGATAAGCAAAGTCAGTGGGGGAAGCCGGATTTGCTTAATGATCATGTGATTCGCTTAACAACCATGGCAAAAAAGGTCGTAAAATCGGGCGTGAATCACTTAATAACCATATTGCTTAGCATCGGAAGTTCTGGTCCCAATTGTGGTCATAAATCGAGGACTATCTGTATGTGAATGTGGGGGTTTTAGTCTCTTACTAGCCTGGTTAAAGCAAGGATGCCAATTTAGGTTAGAATCAGATTTGGAAGGAAACGCTGAAACAGTTCTTCTGTTATCTTGCAGGGATCCAGTTCTGAGCAACTTTAAGCAATACAGGGCATCCTCGTTTAGGGACCAGAATGGGGACCGGCAATTCAGTCACTGAGTGAAGCATTTGCCAAGTGAAACCACAATGGTGCTTGCAATTTTACTTATGTTTCCTTGGCTTTACAGACCTGCGAAGGTCATCAATGCAAGGATTGGTCGTAAAGATACTTTTTCATCCCCGTCGTAACTGCGAACGGTCGGAAAACGAGGGCTGCCTGTAGTTGTTCGCTTTTGGCTTCAACGCAATTGCTTAAAGAAACAACAGGAATGTTCTCTGTACGGTGACACTCCTACTGTGTGCCTCATCCAAAGTCCATCCGCTTTTTAAGAAAGCTTTGCTTATGATGCTCTCTGCAGTGATGCGGTTCAGACTTTGAGAAGGAGCCCGAGCATCAAAAGATGGAAATCGGGAAGACATATTCTGTTTCTCTCGCCTGGCCGGGAGTAGAAATTCAGAGAAACCTGTTCACTTCCTCTACGAACCAAGTTGCCTTTCCCCGCAATCCAATTGTACAGCAATCTTATTAACTTGTTTTCCCTAAGTGGATTCTTATTCCTTTTTTTTTTTTTGGAATTGCAACGTGAATTACCCATCAGCATTCTTCTTTATTCCCCGATCGTTTTAATACATGCAGCATCTTAATTCTGCCTTCTACGCGTCACCTTCTGCCCATAAATTTAATTAAAAACCATTCTAATTCCTTCTTGAATTTGCTGGGGGGGGGGGCGTTCCTCTTGTTCTTACCTTGCTGCACGGCATTATAGTGTATTGCAAAATCTTGGATATTTTGGTCTTTGGCCACAAATAAACTTCAAATGAAGTATTTAGCGGTGGTTCTACGTTTGCTGCATTTATTTATTTTTTTATGGGGTTTTACTGCTGTTGTTTTCTCATTGTTGTCAGCCGCCCAGAGTCACAGAAGAGAGAGGGAAATGAAATGAAATGAAATGAAATGAAATGAAATGAAATGAAATCAAATCAAATCAAATCAAATCAAATCAAATCAAATCAAATCAAAAAAATTAAAAAAAATTATCATGCATCCATCCAAGTCTAGTGAGGATTTTTTGCAGGTTTTTTGGGGGGGGGGTCACTTCTCCTGTTTTAATGGGAAGCTGAACTTTGGCAGAGCAATTCAGAGGCTGACGCTACGGTTCCTGCAGCATCTCTTATGCTGGAAACACTGACGCTCACCGAAGCATCAGACGTGCGACTATACCAGTCCGTCATAAAGAGAAAGTGCCTGAACGATGGAAGGATCAGCTTTAGAGCCTTCCTGGAACTCCTGCAACGTTAATTTCCCATCAGCGTTCTGGAACAGAAGAAGAATCAGAGGTTAGGAAAGGCTGGGGGGCTCTCATCTAGGTGGGAGGGGCATTAGAGGTCATCCAGTCAAACCGCCCTTCTGGGTGCCGAATTAATGAGACAGCTGGTTGTTCAGGTCAGGAGACCAGCGGACAGGGACTCAGAAGAACCGTCAACTCACAGGATTAAATTTCTTGGGTGTGTTGTTTTTATTATTACTATTATTATTAAACAGTGGAACCTCGGGTTACGAACGCTTCTGTTAACAAACTTTTCAGGTTACGACCAGCTCCGGCCGCAAAATTTTGCTTCGGTTTGCGAACTCCGCCTCGGGGTACGAACAGGATATGCGGCCATTTTCCCTCCCGTGACACGGTCCGCGGCCATTTTCCTGCCCCTGACACGTGGTCCGTGGCCATTTTCCGCCCGACACGTGGTCCGGGGCCATTTTTCCGCCCCTGACACGTGATCCGCGGCCATTTTTCCGCCCCTGACACGTGGTCTGCGGCCATTTTCCACCCCTGACACGTGGTCCGCGGCCATTTTCCGCCCCTGACACGTGGTCCGCGGCCATTTTCCGCCCCTGACACGTGGTCCGCG